AGCAAATAACGTTTTGTGTTGCATTTCACACATGTTGCACCGAGAAAAATGCAGTAATACTACGCAGATTTGTGGATCATTCGTTTGGATTTGGTGTGTGCCAAAATAAAATCGGCTTACAGTTTCGAGATTTGTTAACCGAAGTGTGTATGTGCATAATCAATTACAAACGTTGTTCGTTTCGAATGACCTTAAAATAGAAGAATGCACGACAGCCGCACGTAGAATAAACACTTTCAGTTTTGATTCAATTATTTTTATTTTGTGGGAGGAATATAATAATATATTTAATAAGAAGATTAAATTCAAAATGTTTATAGAATGAGACTTATTTTACACACTGACACCGCGCCACACCGCGCTCAATGCATTCTCTCAAAAGTTGATAAATCCAACGCATGCCCAATTATAACTTTTTAATTAAATCACAGTCAGTTATTTTTCAATTCCCATCTCTCTCTCTCTCTCTCTCTCGCCCATGTCCATGATGTACAAATTTTACGCAAAAATTCATAAAGTTCATAATCAATTGGATTGTGGTAATGTGTTCACATGTCTCGAAAAGTGTTGTTTCAGTTTGAATATAAATATATATAACAGATGCATACACAAACACACTCCCCGCAATATGTCTAGTAGATTTTTTCCTCGTTTATTAAACTCCATGACGGCAAACATAATACAAAAAAACAAGGTCTTGTGGATCAAGTTGATTATTTCTGTCACATAAAAGACACACTCACTGCTAAAGTTTAACAAGACAAACTCTCATCCACTTTGGAGTTTTTTGCATAGTGTATGCATCTCTTCACAACCATCCGAATATTGTGTTAACGATAATACACATAGAGAGAGAGAGAGAGAGAGAGAGAGAGAGAGAGAGAGAATGAGAGAAAGAAATTGTTTAGTAGCCCGAAGAGACGATTCACCTTTGCTACTAAAGTACTACTAGAAAATCTTATGCCACATTTAAACAATAGAACAATCTATATTGTCTGCTTATATGTGAACACATTCTTGTTCCTTTCGTTCGATGTCCTTTTTTTCATATCTTGCACCCAGCATTCAACTGAAGCATACCTAACAGTATCAACACCATTTGTTTGAAGCGCATTCAAGCATTTATGTCTGGCACAAAACCGAATAAAAATGATACACAGTTTAACCGAATCGTTGCATACGATCATCTATAACGAAAATGAGATTTTTTTTTTGCTCTTCGTTCGCCGTCATTAATGAAGACGTAAGGTAAAATATGCAATGACCGAATGCGTTGATGGCAATGAGACCGGCACAAAGGACAGACGAGCACAACCAAGTAAATACGAATGAAAAATAATTTTACGAGAAGCTGTTGACATTTGAACGAGAGAAATGTGTCTTCTGCAATTTTGAGTTCTTTTTCTATTCTCTATTTTTTTTTTCGTTTGCGGCGGGGTTAGTGATTGATTTTACTGAACGTCTCAAGAATTTGAACTATCTCCGGTGTGGTTTACTGCAATACCAAATAGCTAAAGTCGATTACATTTGACCGCACCGACTTCTCTTACGTCCACTTTGTCTTCGAAAACATTTTTTTAATCTTCTTCTTTGGCTGGGCAATTTACTATCTCTCATATTTCAATGGCATTCGTCCTGAGTCTGAAGAAAAAAGCACTACATTTTCAGCAAAAGAGTAAAGAAAACCAACTAACAATTCAAATAAACTTCTTATCAAGCAAAAAAAGAGATAAAATTAATATTAACTTCGGTACAATTTTCGCATCAGACAATAATTCGTCAATTTGGAATGAAGATAAATAGCGTTGGCTGCTTAAAAACGATGTGAAAACAAGTAAAGCTGTTAGGCAAATAAAGAATCAAATAAAACTGAATAGAATACGATTCAAACAACCGTCTTATGTGTATACATGTTGAGCACAATACAAAAAAATGAAATGAAAGAAAGCGAATCCGTTTTATTTGTTTGCTTATCATCATCATCATCATCAGAAGCCTGTTAGAATGCATTTCAGGGTTCGGCACACAAATACAATAATATCATATCACCACTTGATATTTGTACGCGTACGTACGTTCATATAAATCGTTTGTATTTCAATACTAACTTTTCCATTTCTCCGTTGATTTAAAAGACACAAAATTGACGAGGGCAAACACACACACACACCGAAATGGGAATAAAAAAAGAATCGCATAGCAAAGAAAGTGGTGGAGAGAGCGAATGTTTCGCGCGAGGGAAAGCTCTTCGTAATGGTCTTTGGAATTGCGTTGGTGCTTTTGTACGCAGTCGCGCGCAACACAAGAGAGCAGAAGCTGAGAATGGGGAATGAAAGATATAGCATACTTTCCGGCTAAAATGCATTGTGATTGTCAGTCTTCAAGTGAATGTTGAAGGGATTCTATGTTGTGCGGCCTTTTTCTCTCCCTTGTTCACTTTAGTTTTTTTACACATTTTACGAAACACAAAACCGCGAATGCACATACAAACACCAAGTGTACTTGTCGAATGCAAAGTGAAGAACCTTTAAATGTGAAGTTGAACGCCATTGACGGATCCTTTTTTCTCTATTTTTTTTTTATTTTGTTGAATGTGTGGAAAGTTCATAGGCTTAGTGTAACAAAAAAAAGCAGAAGAAGAAAGTAACATTAAAGGAATACGTCCATTTTTAATAAGGTTTTGTTTCGTTCGTCGATGTAAAGTGCAATATTGAAAAAAACGAACCAACACAAGCATCAGATATTGATCGGAAATTCAATTGATCAATACAAATGCAAATCTATGAAGAATTCGTATTTAAACAAAAGAGTTCATTTTGCATGGAAAACAATGCTTCGATTTAAATAAAATTTACATGAAAAAATACACGAAAAAAATAATATATATTAAAATTCCAATCAGGATCTATTTCGTTAAATGAAAAGTCAATCTACATATCATTGCAATGAACATCGATTACGTAAAAGAACGTAGAGACAAAAGTGACCAGATGTTGATCACCACCATTGCATTTATTGTTCCATTTGTCCATTTCAAGGAACGTGTGATGCCAATTATTTAAATAACGAGATCGACATTCGTCCAATCTTTTGATTCAAAAAGTTTTTTATAGACTTTTAAAGAAAAAAAAACCACATTACATTTTAATAGACTTTTCAAGACTCATAAATAACCACATACCAAGCGAAGGAAAAATAATAAGTTTAATTATGTGTGGTGAATGAAGTGTGTTGAGACGAAATCAATAAAATTTGATTAAAAGGCCGTGCCGCCCCTTTTCGATTCATCGATTGATATTACTGTGCCGTCGTTGTTATTCTATTTATTATCGTCGCTTTTATCTCGATGTGCATGATTCGCAAATCAATATAATCCAAACATAATATATGTATATTCGCGGAATGATGTGTTAGTTTTAATGTTATGACGGTGTTGTCTGTTGTTGTTTGGTTGGTAATTATGTTGATCGAAATCTATGTGAAAAATTGCGTGTATCGATGAAAAGACACGAACCGGTTATAATTCGATTAGTCTGGTTGACCTGATTTTGCGAAAAGCCAACCGTGCTATTTAAGTGTTGTTGTACAAATAAATAAATGGATCTATCTCATACAGATACTCACAAATCCTGCGATAATCATATGCTTTAATGCGGTATAAATGTGAATGACATACAAAAAAACACGAAAATTTGCAAGCAGCGTCAAACACAGAAATATTGTGTTGAATGTGTGCCAACGGTGAATGAATGTATTTTAAAAGGAGAAAACCACATACTCACACATGAGAAGTGTCCAAAAAATCACCATTGATGCCAAACCTCGAGCCAAACATTTTAATAAAAGCCTATTTTGCGTCGGCAACAATTTTCAAATGCACAAACGCTTTTGAATATGAACGAAAGAGAGAAAAAAAGACAAGAAGGATTGATTGAATAAACAAAAGGGAACTGAGAGTGGTTTTACGTCAATACCATTTATGATTGTGCTTCGTTTATACTTTGGAAAAATGAATTCGTTGCCTAATTCAAAATTCCCTTTGGTATACTTTCGCTCACAACCACACACACATATCTCCGTCGATGCCACTTTCAAATAATAACCCTTTTTGAATAGAGTTTCGATTCGGTTCGCATTGACATATTCGCTTCGCGCAAAACTACAGTTTCAATTTACAAATTTCAAATGCATTTTGCAATTTGGTTTTATCGTCAATTTGGAAAATGGTATTTCTCGTGTGAACGATATTTGAATGATAGAGTTATTGCTATGCTAGACAAATCATGTTCGGTTTTTCTTTTTTCATCGAAAATTCAACGAAATCAATCTTCAATTCCGTTGGGGTCAATGACAATTTCAGAACATGTTCTGCACGCATACAAATTTCCATTTTATGTCGACAATTGCTCACGTTGACAACACAAAGGTCATCAAATTACGCATAATTCAATCTGAATTCGATCGTTGTCTAGATCATTGTCCATGTTTCTCCATTACGGACAACATGTCTTTTCATTTGTTACGTTTGAGCAAAAATAAATTTTGTCTCAATCCTTAATAACAAAAAAGCCTTCATTAGACAAAATATTCCATGTTTCTCTCTTTAAATCTCTCGTTCTTCCCTCTCATTTCTGGTGTGTTCATCAACTACATAAAATGTGTTAACATTTTTTACCCATCTCCGACCAACGTTTATGCATCTTTTATCAAAATCGCGCAATCCTCACTGTTTTCTACTGCAGAGAATGAAAAAAGTTTAAATGAACATAATTTTATTAGCTGAAAAAACGCGTCATGATTCAAGTCAAGTTGGATAATTCAATCAACGCGCTTTTACTGGTATTTGGCATGAGGGTTGGTATCGTGGGGTTGCCGCTAAATTTTACTATGCGGTATTTGTTTACATTTATATAGAGAAAAAAATGGATTATGAAGCGAACAGTGATTTTTATTAAACATTAATTACTTGTTATTTTGTTGCGTGTCGTGCAACAGCGGCACTTCGTTCAGCCAACTCTTCAGAATCCAATAAAAAACGAAGAAAATGGTGCAATGTGCTATACTGTTTTTGCACTTGAACTTCAATGAATGCTATGCACAACATTTTATGCAACGGAAATTAAGTAATTTGAAACTATTTTGGGCCACTTTGAATGATTTATATGTGAGAAAATGCTAAAATTATGTTTAACCAAAGAACAAAATCCATGCGAGGCAAAGCGTCAGACGCAACGCCAACATCAGCAAATTCAACATCAAGTGCACCATCGTCGTCTTCTTCGTCGTCCACATCCAAAGGCTTACTATCATTTAATACGAGCAACTTTACAAAATTGTTTAAAAATTCAACGAATTTTGTGCAGTCGACTTTCGGAAGTGGTACAACATCACAATCACAACCACTATCTCCGGCCAGCAGCTATAATAATTCATGCGCTGAAGTAACCGAGCAATCGTTTACAATCCCGTCCATGAAGAAACGGCACGATGCATCAAGTGCACCGAAAAAACAACAACGAGACATTTTATCAACGCCAGTTTTAATCCAACCCGTATCAATGACGAACACTTCATCTTTGCCGCTTACAAATCTATCATCTTATAAGAAACTAGGCAACGATGATTGCAACAGTACAACGGTGCTAATGCCAATAGCATTGCCAGCAAACGGTGCTAGTCATAAACCATCATCACCAATACCCAATGCGAATGTAACATTGACCATTTCGCCAGCATGCAATCAAAAACCAACGTCGCATGCTCGAAATTCTGTAGCCAATAATACAATAACCACATCATCGGCAACGAAGCAACATCAGTATATTGGTACGCAACAAAAAACACCACAAACGATCGATGCTAAATTGCAAAATCCACAAATCGTTTCACATAATACAAGTACACTGCAAGCAATACGTTCATCAGATGCAAAGAAGATGAACGCAAATATTTTGTTCGAAACGGTAAAAATGAGCAAACAAACAAGCGACAATGGTAACAAGAATGGCAATGGCACATCGATGACACCTTCACCATCGACAAGGGCCACACAATCATCTTCAATATTGTTAGATGATTCGACTGAATATAACAAAAATTTAACAACAACGACGACTACGACGAATTCGAGTGGCAACCACATAAAGAGCGTCATTACAAAAAATGACATGGATAAAAATATCAACAATGTGGAAAATGTAATGGATAATGAGTTGATAGACGTGCGACACTCGGAACAAAATCGAGATAGTGCCAATTCAACTGCTTTGGCAACATTATTATCGTGTAATCGAATGAAAGCTATATCAATGAATGTTTCACCACAAATTTCATCACCATCAAAATATCTTTCAACATCAAATGGAGCCGTAGAATCCACAAAACCAACGAAAAATAACATTGTTGCGACGTCCATTCAACCAACGTTGCCGCATATGTATCACAAGCAAATAAACGATAATAATGGAATGAATGTTTTTACATCACAAGCAAAAAATAATAATTCACATGGAATTGATGTGCTAAACAATGATGACGATGTGAATATTTCGCCAAATACTGTTTCTAATAATAATTTAGATTACACTTTAGACGAATGCATGGGTCATATGAACAATATCAATGATAACCCATTCAAAATGGCGACAACGGTAAAAAAATTGGCTGCCGTTGAATCACTGGTGGCAAAAAGTTCGCACAGCGCCAATAATTCAAAGGCAGTTGCTGTTGAGAACATTTATGCAAATTGTGTGATGATGCCGATAAAATCGACAAATTTAGATAATTACCAACAGCAGGATACTAATGAAAATGTTATTGCAGCCGGCGATGATATGAATATTCTGCTCAGTGGCATCGATGTATCTGATGGCCCAAATAATAATTATAATAGCTGTAATACCAACGAGAATTTTATGAATAACGATAGTTCGAGTGTCTGTAATAATAACGTTCCAATTAAAAGTGATCAACTAAACATATCGAATGACGACCGCGATGACAACGATGATGACGATGTAACTGCTGCCGTCACAATAGCAGCAACATTCAATACCATAAACATGACTAACGAACGTCCAAATAAAACAGGCCAAAGCCAACCGCTTAGCGCCGCATTCAATCAAAATTGTTTTACACCGAAAACCTATGAAATGTACGATATTCTAGAGGAATCGGACGATGAAGAACGTTCAAATTTATTTCGATTCAATCGATGGAATTCATCGTGTTCGTTGTTTGTGCCAAAAACCAATGTATCCATATCGTCGTCGTCTTTTGCAGCCGCAATTGCCTTTGCAAACGAAATGGATTCAACAAATCGTAACCCATTTTTACAATTAATTGCAGTGTCACCAACCACCATTACAACGATTGCCACACAAACGATAACAACGAACTCAACAAAATCACCAATTGTCGTAACAACTGGTTCATCGTCATCGTCGTCGTCATCGTCTTTGTTCGGCTCACAATTATATGCCGAAAGACAAAAAAATTCCATTGGAATTGCGGCGCCATTAATTTCATCAGCATTTAACAATAATGACCAAAGTGATGTTTGTATGGCATTTACATCGACGGACAAGTGCTTGACATCATCCACATTAAGCATATCAAACTGTGCGAACGCCTGGAATGAATTTGCCATGCAAGCAATGCCATTGCCCTCGCCACCATCACCACCACCGCCACCACCTCCATCATTGTTACAGCATTCATCGTTGTTGCCGCCCCACGAATCACAATCGTCCTCGCAGCAAATAAATGGCTTTATCGAGCAAAACGATTTTCAATTGAATGCCACCTCGAATGCAAAAAATCACATTAGTTCCGATGTGATGGATGCCATGTTGTTGTTTCTAAAGGAGCACGGCAACCACTACATTAAGCAATTTATGCAGGTAATTTAAGGCGAATGAATCAAAACAACAACAAAAAAAAGAGAGTATCACATTTGCATTGTTTCTTCCATGTTAAAGCATCATTTAACCAACCCAAGTTTTTCTTCGTATTTTTTTTTTTTTTTTCATTCTTTTTCCGTTTTAATTGAACGAACCTATAATTTCTTCAACGTCTAATGAGCAGTATCTCTCTCTATAAATAACCGGCCACATTTTCTTTATTCATTTTTCCATCAATTTTCTGTTTAAATCCCATTTTGCAGCGTCCGAACCATTATAAATGACTCGTACTTTGTATGAAAGAAAAAAAAAACATAATAAAAAGAGAAAAAAGAAAAATCACATAAAAATTTGTTCTCTTATAAATCACAAGGAATTTTTGTAACTTGTTAAAGGCTTTTAACTGTATAAGAAGAATCTATTAAATGAAACTACAATCCACAAAGAATATTCGATTTGTCTCTTTTTTCCTGGCTTTTCCCATTCACTTTATGTATGCCGATGAGTTAGACATTGCCATTGCATTTCATGGGATTGAATGAAAAATCGCTTTTTTACGAGATTTCATAAGATGAAGCGACAGTTATCGTAATGCATTGCAAGAAAGGATAACAAAAAAATTAATCGAAATGAAAATGTAAACTTGCTTTCCCAGTTATTTTTTACCTCTTCGAAGTTCAACGTGAAGATAAAAAAATCAGACATTTATCGAAGAAAAGTTCAAAAATCGCAATGTCATTCAACAACGATTAATTGAATTTTTTTTCACCACACACAAATGAGAAATGAATATTTGTTGTACATGTGAGTTGTAACAAAAAAAAATCTTGTCATTTGTCTGAGTATTCGTTTGTGGTTCAATTTTATTGATTACCACCAAAGAGACGAGATATCATTCCACACTTGTGCATCAAAGCAAACCAACATTTTTCCCACAAAACTCAATAGTGTGATAAATGAATATTCATCGAATTGGTTTCGATGAAACGTAATCGTATACGCTTTAGTGGTGAATTACTTATGAACGACTCAATTAAATATTCATGTAAATGAAATTTTTCGTCGATCGTAAAGCGAACCGCCGCTATATTTCCAGTCTGCTTTTTTGTTCTTGTTGATCATTATCATCAGTAAAACCATTTAGACGGGGGAAAAAAAAAAAAGAAATCCATTGAGGCGAGAATGAATGATTTGTGGTGAGCTACGCACGTAGTTGCATAACACTTATGCAATGGACTCCATTAGAATTGCAAAAGATTTACATTTTCTGTGTTTATTTTGTGCGTGTGCCATTTTGAACCACATAACATCTATACGTTCATAAGTAATGAGATAAGTGACTTTTTGTATGTGCCAATCGTCCACACGTCTCGAATTCATGTGATTCATGATGACTGCCGTCTCCTTTTTTCTTCTTCTTCTTTCATTTCAAATTAAATATTTATTGAAAATCATAAAATACTTTAGGGCTCATTCGTGGATGTGGATCTGAAAACACAGCATGAGCAACAGACCAAAAAAAACCGGAGAGAATGATAGTCGAATATATGTTTAGTCCATGGCGTGGTTTTGTGGAAATTCCGTTCTGCTTCGCAAAAAATAATTCACTTTCATTAAGAAGCGATGGTGGTGAGCTGTCCCTTTTTATCAATTCTTCGAGACCAATGAACTGATCTCGTTGCGAACAAATGGATGTTTTTACACATGCTCACAAATCTATCGACAATTCGCTTACAAACAATTTTCGATCGTCATTAGTAAAATACGGATGCTATTTTCCTTTTTTATAGTAAAAGGGATTCGAATTTTCGTCAATGTAGATGAAAAATGGTGATCGTCAATGTTGAAGAAAAACATTTCAGCTGGTGTCTCTTAGCATCACATCACATGCTCAGCCATCATTATTGCTGCGTGAGATGGACTTTGAAATCGAAACAAAATAACGAACGTCATGGTTTTTATTTTGATTTTATTCCAATTTTATGTGAAGCAGACGGCAACGATAACATTTTCTTGCTCTATTACACCGCATACACTCATTTCATTTTCTCATATATTTGTGAAAAAAAGTACTTTGTTATTCTATATCGGTAAATCGTCACACAGTTCAATGGATTGTTTTGTTTTGTTTTTTTTCGGAGCGTCACAGATTCGTATCATTATTTCGATCGTAATTTTCCTGTCACGATGACTGTTTACTATGCCATTTAGTAGCGTTTTCATATCCACACATCCACATACGTATCGAATGGTATAAAATGCAACAACCAAACATGAAAAAAAAAAAACGTGTTCATTTTGGGATCATTTATTGGCACAATAGATTTTGGTAATGGTGAACTTTAATGTTGCACATAATACACAATTTACTTGCAACAACCACAATTCAGTTGCTCTTCAATGGATTGTATTATTTCCATTGTAAGCGCTATAATAATAATGTGCAAGATTTCATTTTCAGGCGGGGAGTTTATTTTGTCAATGAAAAGTGCATAAATTTCTTGGTTTATTCGATACACGCGAAGAGGTGCGAGGCAACGTTTGATAAGAATTATGTGTGTGGATGACATGCAAGAAAGTTTTTGCCATTGTTCTCTTTAATATGCACACGAATGCAGAAAGGCATACAAAATGCGCTTCTATGCTCAACACGGTTAAATGAAGGAAGTAAATTTTCTCTATTTCGAAATGAAATCAACTCGAGTGTGAATTCAGTCTTCTTAAATTGAGTAAATTTCTCATGTGAAAACAGAACCAAGTTGAATATGTATATAATTTACACTTATCGTGTGAAGTGGTAGAAAATTTATTACAAAAAAGAATGATACACACTAAAAAAAATTTGTTCACATATATGCACTTTATTCACTTTCATAGATCGTACGCTCGTACACGATTGGGGTAGTTCATCTTTTCTGCACAGATTTGATAAACCATCTAAAAAACATCTTGTTCTTTCGCGCTTTCCCTTTTATCTTTCGGATCGTGTCTAACTTTGTCTGTACACGTAAGACGACAACGCATGACCGATTAATGTATGAATGCTTAAATAAGCATATGAAATAACATTGTGCTGAGCATTATTTGCCAAAGGATAAAAGAAATCACACAATGTTTCTCAATAATTCTTCATCAACAAAAACGCAACATAAAGCATTTTTTCTCCAGGTTTTTATACAGAAAGAGTGACGGCATAAAAGCTATGTATGTGCTCTCATTTTTCAAGATAAAGACTATGTAATGGTAGAGGAAAAGTGTTTTATAGTTCGGGCTGAAGATGAAAAAAATCTCGTATGTTATGTTTGTTTGTCATGTTCATCGCGTTTTTTTGCACACATCTGAACAAGTGAAAAACGGAAACAAAAAAGTTGAGCTAGAAAGAGCCAGAGAGAGAGGGAAGAAAGCTGAAATTGACACGAGCAGATTGCATCATATCGGAAGATTTTGCATTCTATCCATTGTACGGATGTACGGAAGCACGTTGATACTGTGCAGGACGTACGTGTAGAAAAATGAATAAATAAATTGTCGGAATCATTTGTCTTACGATTTACAACGTACAATGTGTGTGCGTGTGTGTGTGTGTGTGTGTTTTGTGCTGAAGCGCAAGTTTTTCAAATAAATTTCCACAGCTAACCCACATAACATGTGCAACTGTTTTTCGCTGATATTTATGGAATCGAGCCGGTGAGCGCGAGCGTGCGCTAACTGTGGTTCAATTTGGAGCGATGGTAATCGCTGGAACTTATGTTATAAATTAATTGTAAATTGTCAGCATGACATGCTTGACATTCAGACAGATAACACGTTCTTCAATCATCCGTGTGGCATGTTAATCAGAATGGGAAGTTCTTCAAGAAGGGAGAAAATGACATAGAAAATCGGTAAATTTATCGACTTATTTAACATTGCGCAGCGAATTGGTAGAAATTTAATCAGAATAAAGTGTTAGATCCAATTGACCTTTGCTGTAAACTTCCAACCACAAATCAAAGTTTATGTTAAATAACGCATTCATTCGTTTTCCCATCAAAATTGGAGCAATTAGAGTTTACAAAGTCCAATGCAAATTAGACAACATTATTATTAAGACCGGATTTGTTTATCAAACTAATTTTTGTGTACTCTCACTCTCCCCCTTCCTCTCTCTCAATCTTGTTTGCACCCCTTCGAACGGAACATTGAACATTTTCAAAACAAGAAAGCGCAACATTTGATTCGTATCAAAACAATATTTTGTCACGCATATCACACGGTATTAAGATAGCATTCCCACTATATTTGTGTATGAGCCCAATACACGATATCTCATATCGGCCATTCCTAACTACCATTTCATCGAAAGTTCTAACGAACCCGTTTCATCAACGGAACAAGACGAAATGGCATAGAATAAAACCAAATTAGACATAATTCGCTTAACAGTTGAATTTACATTTTGTTGCCTCTTATTCGTTCAGTCTGTACGTCACACATACTGTATGTGTACAAGTCGAAAAGTTTTCGAAACACTCCTCACTCTCGATATACACGCTCGTATATTCATATTATGAACAAATTGTTTTACGGATAAATAATATGTAATCAGGTTTACTTTTGTTCCAGTTCATGAATAAAATAGATAAACATTGTGACAAGAATATTGTTACATCTCTCGAATTTATATATATTGTATCGATCATGTTGTCGACCATAAATTCGATGTATGTTTACTGTCATAGGCCGCCATTCGAAAATTGTCCCGTTAGAAAATTCAACGTTCAAGAATACAATGTTCCGACTTGTACATGCTCAATGGCAACAAAATACACAATCAAACAAATAACATTTCACCTCTTTGTCTCTGTCAAAAGTTCGGTGTGTGCGCTTTACAGCTTGTGGTTCATGTTCATTTTCAAACAATTTCAAGCACACACTTAATTTATTCTAATCCAAAATGTTACATAAGCGCCCCGCCACGCAAAACAAACAAATTTGTTGAGTAAACATAAAATCTCAAC